GAGCTGGAGGGTGGGGACCAGAGCCCTGGGGCTGCCCCGTCTCTGGCAGGTAGCGGAGCCGGTGCTAGTGGTGGCGGCCGCCTCGCGCCTCTCTCGCTCCCCGCCGCGTCCCCGCCCGCCCCGCCGCGGTGCCGCTCGGAGGATGCTCCGCGAGTCAGGGCGGCTGCTCCCGCCGCCGCATCCCTGCAACACCGACTGACGGCAGCATCAGCACCAGTGCCCGCCCCCCAGACGCGCGCATTGGACCATGCCGAGCTAACAGACGAGTGGCGCAGCCAATGGAAAGACGCAGAAGCTGCCAGTCTCGCTGCTCCACAGGCCCACCTTCCTCCCCCGCGAAGGACCCAGGCGTCCCGGCCCCAGGGCATCCGAGCTCTTCCTATCTTCTCTCGATCCTTAGCCCGGGTGCCCGGGCGCCCAACCAGTTAGAGTCCCAGCCCAGCCCCAGTGCCTTTTCCGGGAACCCAGGCACCCTAGCCTCTCGCCCATCGGGTTGGGCCCTCGGATCCCGCATTCCCTGGCCCGCGGGCCCATATGGCAGCGCCCGGCAGGCTAAGACGAGCCGAAGGGGATCCTGTGGGCCCCGACGTGAGGCACCAAGAGATCAGGACGGGTGCAGGGCCCGGGCCGCAGCGCCCTCTCCTGGCTACGCCCAGGGGCAGGCCCGGGCTTCTAAGGAGCCTAGGGAAGGGAGACCCCGCCTGCGGATGCTGGGAGCTTTTTCCAGCCCGTAGCCTGGCCTCGGCCTCCCACCGCCCGAGGGTCCCCTGACTGCCCCTAGAACTGCTCGGAGAGGAGAGAGTGTCTGCTGGTATAAAGACGGAGGCGGTGGGGGAGGGAAAGGCGGAGAGGGGAGTGGGGTAGACCTAGGCGCTTGGGGTTTCCCAACTTTGCCTCACAGGAATCCCAGAGTTTGACCTTTGATCCCCAGTCCTGCCTGGAATCCTGGAGTGGGGTAGGAGTAGGTCGAGGGTCAGATTCAAGACTGCACATTGCCAGGACCACTGACAACCTTGAGTTTCAGAGTGAGTGTGACGCTGGGGTGAATTCTTCCCTGTGAGGGCATCTGCATCACAGTGCATGTACATTACTGTGGGAGGAAGGGGACACCCCTTCACTCACTCAGCCAATGAAAGGTGGACCTGGCACCTAGTGTGCGTACCACAAAGTTGGAATGAAGTGTGTGTGTGTGTGTGTGTGTGTGTGTGTGTGTGTGTGTGTGTGTGTGTCAGACCATTCTGCCAGCTCCCTCCAGGACCCTAATTTCTTTTGCAGGGTCTGTGATCTGCACAGCAGTGGTAGTTGGCACTTCCTTAGCCAGAGGAACTTGCAAGAACGCTCACACTCAACCACTAATGCATGCATAGGCACAAAGGGCACACTCGCAGCCAGGCACGACTATCAATGTGCACACAGACATTCCCAAAGGGACACTCAGAGACAGCTGCAGAAATGCCCATGATGATAAGACACCCACAGGAAGCACATGCTTGTTGAAGAACATACACAAACTCGTGCATACAGGTACCTACACACTCAGAGACAAATGCGTGCCCAGGGGAACAGGCGCACACAGAGCCTGCCCACGGGATCATCCTGCCCCCTGAGGCACTTTGCATAGAGTGGTCAATCACTGAGTAAGTCTCCCTTCTCATCTTGTGAGGGGATGAGAGCGGGACTAGGCTACAGGGAGTGTTTCTTAGGGGTAAGGAGGAGAGATCTCTGAGCCAGATCCCAGACCTGGGGCCTGCTCTGACCTTGGAGAGACCCTCAGGCTGGCCTCACAAAGACCACTAAAGGAGCCAGAGAATGGGAACTGCTGAGTCAGGGCCTGTGGATATGAAATCGCCTCTCTGACCCCATAACCCACTGCCCCACACATCCCTCATGGCTCCTCTCCCTGCAATCTACACACACACACACACACGCACGCACGCACACACGCGCACATGCACACACATGTCTGCCAGGCACCAGGGCCTAGATGGACAGACAGACAGGTACAATGACTCACAGACCGTCTCTCAGACCCTTACAGATGGGTGTGGGAAGGCATGGGGGAAGGGCAGGGGCAGGAAAGAATGTGAGAGTGAGCATTTGCCTCCTGTCCCCACCCCTAGCTCCTTGGACCACCATTGCCCGTCAAGGGCAGAAAAGGTTACCTGGCAGCTGCTGTACCTCCCCGCCCCTCCCCCAGCTACAAGGATGTCTCCCCCCAAGGACCAAGGTTGAGACTGCATGATAGTTAGGACCCACCCCCTCAAGACACCCTCCTCAACAGGTCCCCACCCAATGTGGCCCTTCTCTTGTGCAAAGTTCAGTGGGGACACATGGTAGAAGGGAAATGCAGCAAAAACAGCGTGCGTGTGTGTGCACACACATGCACACACACACACAGCATGTGAAGCTTATACACCAGATTCACACGTGCGACCGTGAAAAGACAGTCCCACGTCACACTCCCAGGTGGGGTTTCCCTGGACACATCTTCGCATACACACACACTGGGGAGAGGCCAGGCTGGGGCTGGGGGCGGCAGGAAGGGAAGCCGACCAGGCTGCAGGGATGGAGGCAGCATGGGAGGCGGGCGGCTCAGGGAGCGAGCTGCTCTTCACAACACAATCGCTGTCTGTTGTTATAGCAACTCAGCCCCCAAATCGTGAAACGGATATTACAGCCTTGAGAGGGGGAAGGGCGGGAGGGGGCTGAGGACTAAAGGAGGGACAGAAGGAGGGGGGACTCAAATGAGGACAAGGCTGGGGCCCCCCAACCCGGGTCTGAAAAGTAAGAGGGTGGGAGGAGACCCCCAAATGAGGAGTAGGCCAGGGGTGTGTGGTCTCAAAGGGGGAGATGGCATGGGGTCAGGGAACCCTGAGGGAGGGGGCTGAGGCCACTGCCAACTCTGCAGATATTGTGCTTTGCAGGCAGGAGTTGAAGTGCTCAAGCCTCCACCCCTGACACCACCCACAGCTGCTGTGGGACAGGTCCCAGCTTGGGAGGCCGGGGAGGTAGCTCCGACCCCAAGCTGCTGTCTGGAGTCTCTGGACACCAAGGGCTGGCTTTGAACCTTTAGAAGACCCCCATTCACCTTCCTCACCCAGACCAGCCTTAGAAGTGTCCTTAGCCTTCCTCAGGTAGCAGTGACCCCCAAAACCTCTGTGCTGCAAACCCAGGAGGGAGGAGCTGGGTTGGGAGAGGCCACAGGAGGCTGAGAGCAGGATCAATATGCATTTCCTCTGGAAGTCACTGTCCTTCCGGGCTGGCAGCAGCACCAGGCCAGGAGGCTGCAAGTCCGAGGAATGCGGCCCCCACTCTGAGACAGGAAAGCTTCCCAGGCCCCTACCTCCCTTCCCCCACAGCCAGCACTCTGAGCTGCCCTCTCCCTCCCATGATTCTCTGCAGTGGCTCCCCATTGCTGGAAGTATTCAGACAGGAGCTGAAAGGCTACCTGTCAAGCAAGGGAATTTCAGCTGTGGGCTGAAGGCTATGTTTGCACCTGATCACTGAGCCCAACAATTCTGGGTGCAAAGATGTGTTCGTTTCAAGTTTTAGAGTCCCCAAGATTCTTAGACTCCTTGAGACTTCGGATCCTCTCTAAGATGCTTACGTTCCAAGGTTTTCTGGTTCTAAGGTTCTATCCCTCAGGATTCTAGTCCCCCGACCCACATTCCAAACACATGAGATTCCAGATCTCCCAAGATTCTCCGACTATAAAGTTCTGGACTCCAAGACTCTAGCCCCTTTGATCGCAGCCCCCTGTCCCCCCTCGAGGATTCTAGGCTCTGATGGTCCAGATTCATGACACGGGCCTTTTTATTCCATCTGGAAAATACAAATATTCACAAGAGTCTGTACAACCTTAGGGACCCCAGCCCTGGCCCTGCCCTCAACCGCATGCCACCCTCACATCCCGCCCCCCAGCCCCAGCACCCAGGCTCCCTGCTCTGCTCGAGGTCTGGTCTCCCAGTCAGGCAGGAGTGCTCGATCCAGTCACAGCTGGGAAGAGAAAAACAGAGGTACTGAGGAAGACCCGATCCCCAAATGTAGGAGTCTGCCTGACCTGGGCCATTCAGACAGAGCGCCCCTCTCCCACATCCCCCCACTCCCCCAGCCCTCTGTGGGGAGGCTCTGGCACAGGCTGTGGGCTGACTCACCATCATTACAAGTGGATGTCAAACACGCCATCCTCCACAGTCTGTACCTCCTCTTCTCGGATCTCTGCAGGGAGGGGGGATCACAGGACCAACTCTTGGGTCCCTGTGTCCTCAGCAGCCTTTCCCCCACTCACAGGAGGCGCCTCACCCCATCCCAGAAGCAGACTCATCCACCAAGATGCAATTCACTGGATGACCAAATGGCCCAATTTTTAAGGCTCTTTCTCTGGGATTTCATTTTGCCGCAGCTTTTTCACAGTCACAGATTTGTCAGTGTAGTTTGCTTAAATATCAATTTTGCGTGTGTTATACATTTTAGACCCTGGCACATCTGGAAGGCTCGATGCAAATGGTTTTATCTTTTCTATTTTTGAGGACTTAGGCCAATCTGAACGGTTGTGGTCAACTCCCTTAGACACCAGTTTAACATAGTTGTTCAGACTACTCTCAGCAAAATAATCATTGGAGGAATTGTCATTCAGCAAACTGACCTAAAACCACCAGAGACCCCAAGAGAGCTGCCGGGAGATTTGGGGGCAAGGGACTGTTCTCAGAATGGCCTCCAGAGCAGCCAAAAAGGAAACTGTAGGCAAGTGGCCCTCTCCAATCCCTTGTCAATCCCCCTAACAAAATAAGAGTGAGACTGGAAAATTGAAGTCTCTTTCAATTTTACTCTTCTATAGAGTCTCTCGGCCTCAGAGGGATGGGGGTTCCCTGGACACCTTCTGGCCCTCTTACCTGTCCAACCTTTCTTCATTGCCCCACCAAAATAAGAGAATTTCAAGCTCTGGAATGGTTTCCATCCTGGATAAGTTAAGACTTTACCACAATGGCCCCGCTTCCCTGCCCCACTCCCTCCACAGGCCGATACAAAATGAGGCCCTTTCTTACCTGGAGGCCGGGAGCCTCGCCTGCCCGGGCGGGGCAGGGAGAAGCTGAAGGCGCGATGGTGGGTGTGTGTGGGTGAGGGTGAGGATGCAGACCCCTCCAGACTCACACTCTGGGCCCGGCGCCGGCACTCAACTGACAGGCGATCCTTGCATTGCTTGTGGCAGGTCACGCCACAGGCTGGGGGAGGCAGATGGGGAACCCGGCCAGGGCCATTGGTCAGAACGCCCCCCCATCCCATTCTCCGGGCCTGCCCCTCTCCCCAGGTTCCTCTGCTCCTGAGCGGCTGCCCCACCAAAACAAGAGCCTCCTTCCAAAGTGCTCTCTTCATCCCACTTGCCAGTCTATGCCCCCTCCAAAGTTCTCTGTTTCCGGGCAGCTGCCTCACCAAAATTAAAGCGCTCTTAAAAGTTACCCCCTACACATGGAACCATCACGCCTCTCCGTCTTGAAGGTACTTCACTCCTTTGCAATTGCCCCACCAAAATAAAGAATCTCCACCCAGACAGTAACTCTTCCAGAAAAACAGCCCAGCAGCCCTGCCATTCCGTCTCACCTCGGCATTTGAGGCCCTGCTTGTAGATGCCCAGGATCTGAAATAGAGGAGGGGCCGCGCGAGGGAAATGGGATTTAGAGGTAATGACTCTACTTCCTTCTCAAGGTTAGGGACTGGGGCCGACCCTCTCTGGGGCCTTATAGCCCCTCAGGGTTAGGTGTAGAACAGCAGGAGGAGAAGCAGGTGGAATTCATGAGGCTTGCCTCGGCTGAGAAGGCTCTGGCAGGGGCGGGTCCAAAAGGGAGGGCGGGGCGGGGCGCGAGTGGGTGGGGCCAGGGCTGGAGAGGCGTGGCTAGGGCGGGGGCTCACCAGGGCCTTGCAGTGGCGGCAGGCAACCGGGCGTAAGGAGTTGCTCTCGTGGAAGTTGTGTACGAAGCCCATGCGGCCTCCCAGCACGGAGCTGGAGCGCAGGAAGAAGGAGACCATCTCCTCCCTGCTGATGCAGCCATCCCTGTCGGGGGAGGGGGAGCACCTAAGTTTGGGCCCTCCCCAGGACCACCTACCCCCGGCCTAACCCATCCCACTGGGAAAACCCCCTACCAAATAAAAGTTCCTCACCAAAGTCCTGATTTTCGACCCGTGGTGCAGGAAAGAGAAAATACACTAGACTTGGAGTCAGGCAGGTGCAGTGGCTGCCACTAACTAGTTGTGTGGTCTCTGGCAATCACTTCTCCTGGGTTTCCTCCTCCAGAAAAAAATGGGGATTATAATTCCTGCCCTGCCACTTCACAGAGTTGGTGTGTAAACAAAAAAAAAGCTGCGCATTCTCCCCTGGGATTATCAGCCTCTGTTTCCCAAAGTGAGCTCTGCGGAACACGAGTTGGGGGCCCTGAGAATTAAGAGATCTCTGATGCGTTCTGGGGCCAGGTAAGACCGGGAACAGCTGCACTTGCCTCATCCTTGCATAATCCTGCCAAAAAGTCACCTGTGATCAATGTTTCCCACATTATCCAGGGCTTCCCACAGAATACTTTTTTCACCTATTATCATATTTCAGAAAAAGAGTGAGCATGTGCTCTGGAGAGAGACAGATCTCAGTTCGAAGTTTGGCTCCACTACTTTCTGGCCGTGCGACCTCGGTCTGGTTAATCTCCCTGTGCCTCAGTTTCTTCTATAAGTGGGGATAATGATAGTTCCTACACCTCAGGGGGGTTTATTGCACATGAAGCATTGACAACAGTGTCTGTGTAGTTAATAGGTCCCAGGTTACCAGGAGCTATTTCTGTCAGGACTGGTTCTTGCTGGGAACTCCCACCTACTGTATCTGGGGTTCCATGATGTGATCCAGGTGGTCCCTCCAATCAATGGGGCATTGGGACAACTGGCCAGTTAGAACACAAGATAAGCCTGGATTTCTACTGTGCATGAAAACTAAATTCCCACTGAATTGAAAACACTAATGTAAAAAATAAAAATTATCAAAGCATTGGAAAATGTATAAGAGAATAATTTTGTAATCTTGGGTTGGGGGGGTGAGGGTCTTCCTACACGTAGCACAAATCTAAGAAGCCATAAAGGAAAAGACTGACATTTTGAGCACACAAAAAATTTTTTTAAACTTTATATGGGAAAAGACAACATAAATGACAGACAGGGAGAAAATATTTGCCAACACATTCAACAGGAAAGAGTTAATATCCATTAACAGAAATTCTAAAAAATCAATGAGAAAAGACCAACAACCCAGTGGAATAATGGACAAAGACTATGAATAGGCAATTAACAGAAGAAATATAAGTGGCCAATAAACATATGAAAAGATATCCTACCCCCACTCGTATTAAAGAAATGTGAATTTTAACCAAGACGCCATTTGCCAATTAGACTGGCAAAATCGTAAAGCTTATTATAGCATCCACTCTTGGCAAGGAAGTTGGGAAATGGGCACTCATTTGCTGCTGATGGGGGTGCAAGCTGGCACAACCTTGCCTGAGGTCACTTTGGCAGTCTCTCTTCTAATTTAGAATGTGCATATTTTTTGATCCAATTATCCCACTTCTAGGAATTTCTCCTACAGAATCAGTGGCCTGAGTGCATCTCTACAAAGATGTTCACAGCAGCCTGCTGTATATTAATAGCAAAAAACCGGGAAGAATACACGTCCATCAGCAGGAGAAGGGTGAAGTAAAGGATGGCCCAGCCTCACCGTGGAATACTCCGAAGCTGTTCTAAAGAGTGAGGTAGTTCCGCATGAACTGGTGTGCAAAGATGTCCATGATAAAGGTTTAAGTGAAAAACAAAAGCAAAAAAAGCCAGGCGTGCGGTGCCATCAGGACAGTGACGACAACATCAACAACAACAACAAAACAAAACAAAAATACTGAAAACCGTACTGCCACAAATACCTAGGTGCTGGTTAAAATAGATCAAAAATTGCTTTAAATGCATAGGTGAGTTTGCAAGAAATGGAAGCCCCCAAGTTCCAGAGACAGAAAGGGAGCTTCAAGCTGAGGCAGTGAGTTGGAGCCAGACACTGCGCAGCTGCCCCAGGAGAAGTTGCTGGTCTCCTCCTGGTGAGCCAGGTGCTGGGTTTTGATACCCAACGAGGGGCCTGCAGGTGGCAGGGAGTTAAGGCTGAGACGTCTGCATGAAGCTGGGGCCTCAAAGGCCGCCAAGGGCTGCATCTTCACTGAAAGTGTGGCCTGAAAAATAATCCACCCACGAACCCAAGGAGATAAATGGAACTCTGTCTCAACTCTGGGTGGAGAAAGCAAGTACAATAAACACCAGAGGCAGAGCTAAATTTATGCTATAATCCTGTTTGTCCATAACACGAACACAGGCAACAAAATCTATATCGATTTATACATGCATGGAGAAAAAAGACTGGAAGGATACACACACTGCCAGACCAGGAATATTTCTAATGGCGTCACTAAGGGCATAACCTTTACCGATGGAAAAGGAGCAAGAGAACTTTCCACTTCTTATTTTATACCCTTTGTTCACCACAAATCTATTTTATAACCTGGATTTTTTTTTTAATCAACCGGGGATTTTTGCAATATGGAAAAGAAAAACAGATTTTAAAAATATGGATTAACATGAAAAATAACTCGACCTGAGATAGACTATAAATTTTGATTGGAATTTCATCTTCTCAGCTGAATAGGGGTATGAACGTGGTTGCAGGGGACACACTTAACCTACTTCAGAGAACCAGCTGTTTGTCCAAATTGTCAGCTTGTGAATTGTTGATAAGCAAGTGGGTGCTGCTAATTGCAGGCCTTTCTTATCTACTCATTAAAACGAGCTACCCAGGAATTCAACTTGCCCACACTTTTTGCCAGCTGTGAACTCCACAAATAAAATGGAACTTGTGTAGCAATAGTCCTCAGGCCACAGTCTTTGTAAGATCCCAGTGGAGCCCGCATCTGTCTGAATGAGTGAGGTAACCCTGTGCCTCCGCAGCCGCAACCCCCCGCCCAATCACCGGACTAGGAGCCCCTCCCCACATTGGTGGCTTCCTCTGCCAAGATCATTTGGTCCAATGGCCTGATCTTGCACAGGAGGAAACTGAAACCCAAGAGGAAGTGAGCCTGCCTTCCCTCTCCCCCAGTCCCCAGTCCTCCTCACTGGTTCTGGTCCAAGTCCCCAAAGGCGCTGAGGTAAGGGAAGTTCCCACGGATGATCTGGAACTCTTCCTGTGAGATGTGGCCGTCTCCATCAACATCAAAGTTCCGGAACACAGACTGGAGGACACAGAGGGACACGTAGGGGCAGGAAGATAAAAGGATCCGTCCTGCCCACATTCCCAGTTCATGTTACGAAGGATGTCTCAAATGCTGGCGGCTGTCCATCTCCCCCACCATACCCCCACCCAACCCCACCCATCGGCTATGCCCATGCCTTCTAGAGTCTGAGTGCTGGCCCATGACCATGGCACTAGTGGTGGCTTCCGAGGTGGTACCTGGCAAAACCCACCTTGATCGACCACTACGGACTTAGCCCCTTACCCCTCAGGCTCCACAGCTGTCCGCTAGTCTCACCTCCACCATTTTCTCGATGTGTTCCACCATGAGTGCCTGATCCAGCTTGGGTTTGGCAGCTGCAGTCCACTCTTCCAGCACTGGGGCCCGGGGTGGTGGGGTGCAGCTCGTAGGGCTGGTGGGCTGTGGGAATGGTCAGGACTGAGCGAAGGCCAGAGGTGAGGGAGCCCCGGGCCCAGGGGAGCAGAGAGGAGAAGGTCTGGGGGGAAGAAAGCCTGGACAACAAGCAGGATGGGTGAGGGAGCCGCTCCTGCCCTCACATCCTGGGCTTCTCAGGCAGGGGCGGAGGAGGGTAGGAAGAGGGTGGACGAGGTGGGGAAGCAGGATTCTCTCCCTCACCGAGGACTTGGAGCGCGGCTCCCTCTGCAGGGACAGTTGGTAGAGCTCGTCTTCCGTCTGATACTGATCCAGAGACACCTGTGACACAGGTCTGATCACTCACTGGCCCCTGCTCTCTCAGGAGCACACCGCCCAAAACTCAAGGTCACACAGTTCCACCTGAAGGCTGCAGCTCAGCCCCAGGCCCAGTCCAGAAGCTCAACTCAGGACAAAGGACAGCTTAGAACACACCCCAGCAACCACATGCCAGCCTAGCACACAGACAAGAACCCAAGCTTGGCTCTAAATCTTGACCATAACACACTGCCAAGATCTCAGTCAAGAATCCAGGTCAGAACCCAGCCTAGAGCTCTGAAATTCACCCACAACCTAGAACCCAACCTAGCATCCAGAATCCAGCTCAGATTTCAACCCTGATCTCAGTCCAGAGAATAGCTTAAGAATACACTCTAAATCCAAAACCTAAGCCCCAGTCCAATGTCTAGAACCATATTCAAATCTACACTAGAACCCAACTCTAACCCTAAACCTCAAAACCAAGTCCAAGGTCAAGTCCAGAACCTCAGAGCTCAGGACCATGTTTAGAAACTATCCCTGCATGCAGAATTCAGAGCTTGGCCCCAAACCTTGAACATGACCCACTGATAGGAACTCAACCCAGGGCCCAGGCCCAGCCTCAAGCCCACACATCAGCCTCGAGATCAGACCTCAGTCCACAGCCTATGTAATGCCTAGAATTCATCTCAGAGTTCACTACAAACCCTGGAGCCCAGTCCAGATCTCAATCTCTTGGCCAGAACTGAGAAGCCAAGGCCGAGCCCATGGCCTTGTGTAAAACCAGGACCGGGTGTGGGCATCAACCCTGGCACCTGGCCCCTCACCGTGAGCAGGCTCAGCAGGTCAGGGTTGGCCTGCACTGGTGGCCGAAGGCTGGTCACCATGGCCAGCTCCTCCAGGATGCTGAAGAGCTGCTTCATCTTGGCCCCATTAAGTCGGGTCCGGGCAGGGTCCAGCCAGTCAGGCAATGCCAGCTGCAGGGCCACCAGGTCTTTGAGGTGCACGCCCAGGATGGGAAAACGGAAGCCCACACAGGCTGCCAGCCGGCGCCGGTAGTTGCCATAGTTGCCAGTGGCCGTCACTAATTCTGTCAGACCTTCCCAGAGCTGGGGGGCAGAGGGCAGAAGGTCACACACACACACACACACATACGCACACATCATTGGCTCAACCATCCTCCCCCGTCGGCCCTGAAAATGTGGGAGAGGATGAAGATCAGAGTCAAGGATGGGTAAAAGGTCAAAATCCTTCCTCAACTGTCCCCCAACACCGGTTCCCTTAGGCCCTGAGGATCAGAGTTCATAGGTCACAAATTCAAGGGAATACCCATTGCATCTGGCCTGGCCATAGATTATCATCAACATTTAACAGGAGAAGAAACTGAGGCTCAGGGAGGCAAAGCAGCACAGGACAATAATCTAGAAGAGTGTTCTTAGGTGTGTTGTTCATAACCGTCCAAACTGGAAAAACTCCAAATGTTCAAAAGTAGAGTAGATGAATTGTTCAAAAGTAGAGTAGGTAGATGAATTGGAATGGACTGACAATAAAATATTAAACGGTACTAGAAAGGAATGAATAAATTGCTCCACAGAACAGAAAGCGAGAATGAAAGATATAAAATAACATATACAACATGATTCCATTCATAGAAAGTTCAAAAACAGGCAACAAAAAACCCGCATTGTTTGGGATGCATTCACAGGTGGTAAAGCTAAGAAAAGCAAGGTCATCATTGTTACAAAAGTCATGACATTGGTTACCTCTGAAGGGGAGGGAGTTATGTTCTAAGGTGCTGGGAGCTTCAGGGGCTGGCAGTGTTCTATTTCTTGACCTGGGTGGTGGTTACACAGGTGTTTTCTTTATTTTTCTTTAAACTGTACATATGTTTTACATACTTTTCTATATGTATGTCACCCAATATGTTTAACGAAAGGAGAAAGCACGAGCTTTGGAGTCAGGCAGACCTGTGCACCCCCACTCTGTCGCTTTCATTGTGTAACCTGGGAAGAACATTTAATCCTTCCGAGCCTCAGTTTCCTCATAGGTCAAGTAAGAGCAGGAGGGCCCAGCGCTTGCCGCTGAGAGTTCCAAAGGAGGCCAGACCTGGGGAGGCCAGCCCTTGGCGAGGCTGTTCCCCTGACCCCCCACTCCCGGTCCCAAGCACCTTGATGGTCTCAGGGCTGACGTGGCTGTGGGTCTCCTTGAGGCGGGAGATGGAGCTGTGGCTCAGGCCCCCGACTACTGCCATCAGCGTGTTGAAGTTCTGCAGCTGTAGCAGCTTCTGGGAGACAAAGTGAGACGGGGCGGGGGGCCACTGAGCGGACCCAGAATTTGGCACGGATTTTCTGGAGAGGAGGCAGTGGTTTCATGGAAAGGAGGGAGGACTCAGCACACTAGCAATTGGGGAGGAAGGGGCGGGGCAGGAAGGGTGGGGGAGGGGTGGGCACCTCTGCCACGTGGACGAAGTGCTTGATAACCAGGGCCCGCTGTGGGGCTGTGGGCTTGCTGAGAATCATGAGCTGCACCCACTGTGACACACTGTTGAAGAGGGAGATGAATCGCTCCAGGACAGGGTTGTCCACGGTGCAGCCGTGAGTCACGAAACTGTGATAGTCCTGGAACTGGGGGCAGGCGTGGCCTCAGCACCCTGTGGGCTCCTCTCCTCACCCACGGCAACTCCTCCCCTCCAGCTGCCCTTTGGTGGTTGCACTGAAACCAGCCACCCGCCCTGTGACCCCACCTTTCCCAGTGACCCTGCCTCTCTTGGGAACCCCTCCCAGCCCATACTCCACCCCTGACCAAAGGCCCTCGGCCGCACCAGGATCTTGCAGAATGAGCGATACTCCAGGTAAGTGAGATGCTCCGCCAGCTCCATGGGCTCCAGGTGGTCGAACAACAGGGACATCTTGCGCTTTTTCTGTCCCACGGGGTTCCGCTGGGTCACCTGCCGCTTCCACTTGTATGTGGGGCTGGGGGAGCAGGGGCAGTGAGCCCTTTGCTGGAAATGCCCCACACTCACGTAGACACGCCACTCGAGCTAACTGAGAACCTCCACGATGTCCCCAGTCCCAGAACTCCTGCAATCTCCCCCTTGTCATGTACTCTACACATGATTATGGAAGACGTACTCTGTGCCAGGCACTGTGCTAGGCGCTGGGGGTACAGAGATGAGCAAGACACGGTTCCTGCCCCCGAGGAGCTCACAGGCTACTGAGGGAGACAGACACAGAAACAAACAATCATAAAACAGTGTGGCACGCGTACAGGTCTTCGCACAAAGTGCCACATGGGAACAGAGCGGGGAACAAATTCTGCCCTGGAAGGGCCGGGGACTTCAGCGCCCACAGACATTTCACATTTGAGCTGAGCATGGTAACACAGAGAGTGGAGGGGAACAATGGTGAGCAGAGCATCGTGGTGGGAAAGGGCGCAGGGCCGGAGGATGGTGAGTGGACCCCTGCAGCTGCAGGATGAGGTGCATGGGATGGATGCTGGGCTGTGGAAGATGAGGCACAGATGCCAAGCTGGCCCAAGACTATGAGAGGCCTTAATCCCCAGCTGAGACATTTTGAAGGTGACAGAGAACCGTAGAAGGTTTTTAAGCAAGAGAGTGACATGACCCTCACTGACTCAATTCAACAAACATTTATTAAGAGCAGACAGTGCAGGGATGAAGAGTGCCCCCCCCCAGCCCCGAGCTCCCCCACGCACACGCTCTCAATGTCGATGAGGCTGCTGTGCCGCCGGTTCCCTTCTTGGTCCAGCAGAGCCTTCAGCTCCTTGATCTGCTCAGCGAGCTCATGGTTCAAGTCGAACTCTGCTGGGAATGCTGAGATCCAGTACCTGCAGGGGGTTGGGAGTCACCCAAGGCAGCCCTTCCCCCATCATTCCCTGGTGTAGTTCCCCATAAAGGGGGAAAGAGCCTCAAACTGTGGTGGTTCCCCTGTCCCAGCTCTGTCCTTCCCTACTTCCCATAAGCAGATCAGAAAACCCAGCCCAGGACCAGGAAGGGGCCTCTGGCAGCACACCCACCATGGACAGAGCCTGGGGCAAACCTGCCTGACCAGCTCCCAGAACCGGGTCTTCCCACTCCTTCAGTCCAGTGTGAAACCTGAGAGATGGAAAGCAGAGGAAGGAGAGGACGGTGTCCCAGGAGGAAGACTCACCTGACCAAGTGGCATGTTTTCACCTGCAGCGAACTGGAGTTGTCCTTTCGGGATTGTTGGTAAGTGAAGGAGAGTTAAGGAAAACCAAGATGCAGCCTAACTCTAGAAAGGGAGGCAAATGATGGGGCCTGATTCTAGGAGACATGCTGGGGGCGGGGTCTGGGGTGTGGGCGGGGCCGAAGCTCTGGGTAGGGGCTGAAGGAGGGGGTGAGGGGTGAGCCTTGGGAAAGTAGGTCGAGTGGGAAGGGGGCTAGGTTCTGGGGGTGGCTGAGAGCAGGGCCTAGGCTCTGGGAGAGAGGCAAGAGGTGGACTGGGCTGGCAGTAGGGACGAGTCCTAGACTGTAGGGAGGGAGAGGGTAAGGCCTAGGTTGGGGAGAGAGTCAGGGGCGGGGCTGAGCCTAGACGGGAGGAAAGGGGTGGAGCCTAGGCCCTAGAGGGAGGCCGAGCCAAGCCAGAATTCTGGGACGCTGCAGGAGGGGCCCATGCTAGCCTAGTGAAGCCCATTCTCCACCTGAGCTGGGCAGCGGGCCTTGCTGGGGAACTAGGACCGCAGAGCCCTTGGCGAGACCAGCGAAGGATATATGTGAAGCAGTTTTGCCGCCAACTGAGAGGAAGGGATGTACCAGGGGTGCATCATGAGGAACATGCGCACCAGCTGCGGGTCTCGCACCTTCCCGGAGTCATCTAACTCCGAGGGGTCAAAAAGAAGCCGGTTGACCCTTCGTCCCGCAGCCATGATCCCCAAACCCTATCCTGCAGCCCTCCTCCTGCTTTCCCAGACTCCGAAACCAGGAGGCGGATCAGAAAGAAGAGGTAGGGTGCGAGAGAAATAAGGCAGGATCCGAGGGACTGGAGAAGGAGTGTCTGAGTCCGGCCCATCGTCCAGAGGGGAACCAGCTGGGGCGGAAGGAGCCTGGGTTCCCAGGGTCAAGAATCCAGAGGTCATTTCCTGAGTACTGGGGGGAAGGGGCACCCCTTCACCAGATAAGCTGCCCCACATCAGCCGGAAACAGTTCCCAGGCCGGAGATAAAGAGTTCCTCCAGAATCCCGGGGGAAACAGATAATGCTCCTCCTGTGTCAAGAGTCTAGGGACCCCGTCTCTGCCTTCAACGCCAGCATACGAGGGAAGGGAAATATTTTATTTTTCTGAAACATAGGAATCTTTTTACGATGAAGAGGGTAAGATGCTTTCGTTAAAGAGGATGCAGGATGCGGCGCTGGCTGGGCTGGGTCCCGACCTGGTGCCTACCCTGGGAGGCGGGGACCCGGGTTCAGGCTCCGGGCTTGGTTCAGGCTGGGTGTGAATTTCCGTGCCACTCACCAAAGGCTTCGATGCAGCCGCGGAGCAGCTCTTCCACCGTGCAGCCCTTGTCCAGGTCTAGGGTGCCCGCCATGGCCGCCGGCGCGAGTAGGCTGGGCCAAGCTGCGCTCCGGGGTTAGATTCCCACGGGGTTCAGACCGGACCCCTGTCCCGGGAGAAGGAAAGTAGGAGTCCGCAGAGGCGCCGGCCAAGAGAGCGGCCAGCGGGCAGGAACGGGGCGTGGCGGGTACGCCCCCTGCTGGGCAGGGGCGGAGCGTCGGCTGCGGCCACTCCCTGGGTTAAACGGTCTGGCCCAGGATGGTGCAACCCACCAGTTGGGAAACCGACTCACCAAGAGGCTTCCGGCCCACCCTCAGAGTCGTGGGAGGGCCGAGGGACTCCCCAGGGATGAGGACAAGCTAGTACTCCGGGGGCTGGTTGGTGCCCTAGCCCCTCCTAGTCCCTCTTCCCCTCGCGCCCTCTTTCCAGAGGCACCTGCAGCACCCAGCAGCTAGGCTCTGTGCCCCTCCCGCTTCTCTCTCTCCACAGCCTCCCTTCCCCCGCAGGGTTATTTTGGGAACCCAGAGCCTGAGGGGACCTCGGAGGAATTTCTCTCTACGATGGGAGGGGGGTAGGAACCCAGGCGTCCTGCCCGCTTTGCTCCCTCCCAGGCTCCCGGGAAGGGAGGCGGAGCTGTGACGGCCCCCAGGGGCCTGCCCTTGGGGAGGCAGGCTAGAGTGGAAAGGAACATTCCTGGGGCGGGGGTAGGGCTAGGGTGGGGGGAGTCTGCTGCGGCTGGGAGGGGTCAGCGGGAAGCCTGAGCCTGGGAACCGCGCGCTCCCTAAACACCTCCTCCGTGAAGGCCCCAGGGGTCCCGGCTCAGCCCTTGCACAAGCCATCTTCCTCCCCAGCCGAGGCTCCTGTCCCAAGCTCCCATATCGCACAGTCGAACTGCGAGCAGGCACACAGGCGGGCCACGCTGGGGCACACAGGGTAGGGTGCCCAGAAGGAGGCGCCATTGCCGTGGGGGCTGGAGAGTGCCTGTAGGACTCCACCAGCAACTCCAGTGCGGGATCGTACGCACCCATGTAAGGACAGACACTTAATCCATACCGGAGGACAGGGGCCCACATTGGGGTGCAAGACGCCCTGGCTCACACACACCCAGGCCTCAGGCATTCGCCTCTCATCCTCCGTGTCACACACACAATGGCACCCACACCCTGAGCACACCTGCGCAAAGGAACCCTCGGGCACACATACCCAGCTCTCTACCCCAGAATGCAAATCCATTGATGGGGCCAGCTCCCGGACCCTCTGCTCATTCCAGCGAAGCCAGCCTGGAGTTTCTCGGCCACCGCAGCGCTGACATCCACACACGTGTGCACACAAGCCAGACAGTGCGCCTACACGCATGTACACTCCCACACATGCACACACCCCCGTGGGTGCGCGCACACACGCCCATTACGCCCTCCCCTTCATCCGCGGTCTAGGGCCAGCCAGGCAGCCCAGTACCCTAAGACCCCTCACCTCAGCCGCTGGCAGAGCCTTTACCCCACGGAAAGGTACCCCGCCCCTACACATACTCCCCCGGGCTGGGCAGAGGGGGCGGGGGTTCCTCCACGGAGTTCTGGCGGACTTTTCCTGGGAGCCACCCAGAGCCATCCCCTCCTGACTGCCGCTTCCTTGCTGTGTGACCTTGAGAGTCACTTGGCCTCTAGGAACCTCAATTTTCTCATCTATCAAATGGAGAGTCCGTGGAGGAAGGTCCCGCTGAGACGTGGCTGGGAAGGGCCGAGTGCACCGCTATGCCGCCCCCTCCCGCGGGTTATCCCGGGAGCCTCTGCTCTCTCTGCAGCTCCCTCCTACCCCCAACCCGGGCCGCAGACTCCCCACCCACCAACCCACCCGCCGCCCTGGGGGGCCGCTAGGGGCCAGGCCCTCCTCTGAGCATCGTCCCGCCCGCGCTCGCTCCACTCACTCTTGGGACCCGCGTCAAGGAGCCCGCACCCGGCACGGCCAGCGCCAC